GTGGGCCATGTCATCTATTTTATTTTGTAGTACACAGTAAATATAAGAAGCATGCTTATTGGCCGAAATTAAGCACTTAATGCTGACGTCATGTTGGCATATAAAGAGCTAAAACGAAAAGAATGACCCTTTTTATTTGCATCCACCACGTTAAAGGGCAGGGACAAAAGTTTTTTTTCCTGGGAGGGAATAGGAGAAAAGAGAATGTTACCTCTCTTATCCAGAATATTACAAGATGCATACAATGACGAAACTACTATGTGAGGCTTGAAAGGAACGAATGTTTATTACTTAGATATTAAAATAAAATACATTTCAGACTGAATAGTCTTGCACAAAATATTCTTTTGTGTGCCTTATTATAAACAAGGCAAGATAACAGATCAAAATATATAAATGCTCTTAAAATATATACTAAACAAACTTGAAAATATGTGTTTGTATTACCTTTGAGTAGGTAATACAAGCACTTTAAATATGTTTTAAAATACTGTTTATGAAAAAAGGTGTACTCACCTAATAGAGATACGAAAAAACAAAAGGGCGCTTCAGCAAAAACTCACGCTCGTCACTGAAATATTTAACCTATTTTTTTCGCTTTAGAACAGTTATATCCACAAGTTTCACTTAATTCACTTCTTTTTTTCCGTTTGCTTCTTCTGTAAGAAACAGCCCAGCTCATTCACGGGTGACAGTTAAAAATAGCTTATTTTTTTTATCTACAACTTTATTTGTTTGCCTTCAGGGCTAAATTTTCATGTCTCCTCCTCTTCTGACTTTGAGATTCCCGATCCTTCATCGTCAAGACTGACAATGGTGAAAGGCCATATCATCCCAGGAAAACACGTGGTCCATTTCTTTTCTCACTCGTAGACTTGCCCCGCGGAGACGGTCAGCAGTAGCAGCAGCAGTCTATGTCATTTATCCAATGATCTTATAAAATAACCCAAATAGGATCCAGCTTTTGATTGGGCAATAAATACAAAGATTATAGATTTTTCAAATTTGAAAAATGAATTACTAACAGTTCGCCATAGCCGTTATTTCTGACGATTCCTTTGTAGTCAATTCTAAGCACAGAAACTTTTCAAGACAAATTTGGCACATCAAATAAATTTTTTACAAACCGTCTAGTATTCTTTTAAATAAACTTCTTTAAAAAGTAAGTATAAAAGACAGACATAGGCTATTATAATATTTATTTATTTACACATTTTATTATTATTTTTAATTATTAATATTTTTTTTTATAGAAAGGCACACATAACATAAGAGAAAAAGCTGCTCCAAGACGAATACCCGAATATAAGGTAACGGACTGTTAAAGATATTCTTATATGTCCGTAAAACTTTTTTGTTTCTTTTTTATTTCCATTATTTTATGAAATACTTACTAAATATGCCAAGTCATTGGATTCTTTCTTTTTATTCCCAACTAGATCAAGCGGAGTAACTTTATTGTTCGTATACTGCATAAAATGCTCACCAAACAGTTTTTTTTTGTCAGTGATGATTTCCTCAGCAATTTTTTCACGAAATTTTCCCTTTCCACGTGGCTCGCACCAAAAACCATTTTCAGTTCTCCTTTCAGTAACCCCAGGGATTCACTGCTATTTACATCATTTGCTTTTTACAACTGACCAGTTCACCATGAATTTACATTCTCAATCATTATTCAATTACTGGATTCCATTTGCCGCTCGTAACTGAGTTCGAAACGCAAAGTTCCCCGTGTCGTCTTTCAGGCCTCGACTAGCCGTCAGCTGGCTTCCATTCTAAATTCGCCACTGCGACCTTAAAATTAGAACTGACTGTCTTAACGTAATTAAGCGTGACTTCCCAGTCCATATCAAAACCCTTTCCAGTTCACTCGACTGACCCTGATATCTGCCACGCGTCACCTTTGATTTTTCCTACTTCTGTACAGACTCACAATTAGTGTGTACGGGTGGGAGGTCTTGTTTTCTACTCAGAATATCAATCTTAGTCTAGTGTCATGGCGCCCTTATTCCGGCTGAAGCATATATATATGATATATATATATATATATATATATATATATATATATATATATATATATATATGTGTGTGTGTGTGTGTGTGTGTGTGTTGCAGTTTTATTGAATTTTAATTAAATTTATCCCATTTGTTTATTTTAGAAACGTTAAGAAAATGTCTTTAAAATTTAAGAAATTTTGTCTGTTTTTATTGAATTATCTATTTTTTATACGATTTGCATATTTTCAGACACACACAAGCAAACACACACACAAGCAATCAAGCACACACACACAAAAGAAAAAATGACAAAAAGGAAAAATAAGGAAGTTAAAAAAAGTAATAAATGTTCTTCAGCTTTCTTTCTGCCTTAAGAAATAAAAGTCCCAGCATTTTTAGACGCAATGTAATAATTCAATTACATATAAACCAATTTCCCATCAATTTTGTTTATTTTTTGGGGTGGTGGTGGTGTTTCTAATTTATTTATTTATTTTTTCAACTTTCATTTTGGTGATGGAGATTGGTGGTGAATATAATGTTTAAAACATTTCTGCATATTGAAGAAATCCTGTTGTCGTATTTTATTTTTGTCTTCGAATAAACAGAATTTACACGATGAATTAAATTTTCTCTTATTGCTTTTATTCTTCTTGAACTTTCTCGAAAGACATTTCTGTTTTCCTCTCTCATAGCAGATAGCAAGATTTTGTTTAATTTTATTCTCGCAATAACGTATGGAGAATTATAAAGTTGAAACACGTTAGCTCCATATTCCAATAACGGTATTTATATTTTCTTTTTTTTTTATTTTGAAATAATTTGTCATTTATATTTGGTTTAAAAAAAAAAAATAAACAGTGGAAAAATCCAACGAAAGACGAACGCAAACTTATGTCTGTTGTGAAAATATAAATGAAAATAAAATAATATAAAAATAAATACAAATAAAACCTTTTCCAAACATATAAAGAAACAGAAAGGCCTCAATTAATCGAGTTCTAACCCAGAATTCTGAAACAAGACTCTTCCTGTTTTGACCACACGATTTTGCTGGATCAGATTTGAAGTCAAAATGAAAGCAATAATTACAGTCTTACTTAAACCACATCTCCGTTTGCTTGTTATTGCTCGCATCTAAAGGAGAAACTGACTTCATTTTTGTAAATACCCGCTGTGATGAAGAAGTAATTAGACACACTTACCACACCTTCGCATAACGTGTGGTAATAGTGTCAGTTAGTTATGTGCCATGCATGATACACGCTTAGGCGATCATGTATCTTTCGATACGTGACTGACGAGACAGATTTTTTCCTCGCAATAGGTTGCCATTTCTTTCTGCAGTAGACCAGTTGTCATCCAAGGGTAAAAAATCAGGTCTGTCCTGCTATTTAGCCACAGCTGGCGGAAGAAGAATAGTATTCATACCAAGTGTATTAGCACGTAAGTGAATATCAGTCAGTTATGTGTTATCCGATACATGCCTGACGAGGCAGATTTTTTCCTGCAGTAGGTTGCCATTTCTTTCTGCGGGAGACAGGTATGTCCTGCTATTTACCCATACCTGGGGGGGGGCAGAAGAAGAGGATTCATACCTTTGCCAAGGGTATTAGCACGTAAGTGAATGTAATGGATTCGACTGGAATTCGAACTCGGCTATCCGATTCCTCAGTCCGAACCGCAATCCATTACTCCACCTAGTTCGAATTCCAATCGAATCCATTACATTCACTTACGTGCTAATACGCTTGGGAAAGATATGAATTCTCTTTTTCTCCCCCAGCTATGGGTAAATATTAGAACAGACCGAGTTCTATAGCCTTGGATGGTAACTAGTCAATCGTATCACGCATGGCACATAACTGACTGACATAAGCCACAAGACTTCCATAAAAAGAGAATGAGTTTTTATGAGCATCTTGAAAATATTACATTTATCATTCTTTGAGTACACTGAGAAAACTCAAACAATTGTAATTTGAATAAATTTTGCCTTTTTCTTACCTTAAGACATTGTATTCAGCTTTTTGTTTATTTGTTGATGCTCTTTTTATGTTTTTTTTTATATTAGAAGTATCGCTTTTCCACTTTCCTCTTATGACTTACTATTTCTCCCTGTGTTTGTGGAATCTCAACACGCTGAGCCAGATAATTATTTTATATCTGTGATATTAGTGCTACAAACTTAAACCATAATCTCTCTTATTAAATGACTAAAAGTTGATCCCGGATTAAGGAAGCGGAATTCATATTCTCTAAAGAGTGGAGCAAGCGGAAGTGACGTCTCAAAGATGGATTAACAAAAGGAAGAGTTAATAGAAAAAAAGTTTGAACAAAGTAACCATAAACAATTTTTTTCTATCCTCTGCCAGCCACAATGATGGAGAAAGCATTACCTCGAACTCATGGCCAGTGAGAGACGCTGCAAGAGCCAGACCGTTTCGCGAGGCTCGTCCCTTAATCGAGACGTAATCGCGCCAATACTCCGAAGGAACGCCATCGAACGAGGGCCAATAACCACAGAAGCATCCATTACCACAGAAGTAAAAAAAAAAAATCTATCAGTAAGAGAAGAATATTTAACTATTTTTTTTTATATCTGCGTCCTGGGCGACGGATCCTGGCTCAACCGCGGAACTGATCAAATTACCGGCCGAAAATGTATCCGCACAGGTCGCATCCCAAATCAACGACTTCCCCATTTTAAAAGGGAAAATGGTAATGCCATCCGGTCGCTTTTCATCACCATCATTTTTGTTAATAGAAGAATTAAGTAATAAGAGGAGTTATTTCCGCTTGCATAGACAGCAGAAGAAGAATAGTCTACACTCATGGATTGAATAAAAAGTTTGGTACGAAATTCATGAAACCGAATACAGGAGACAACTAAATAAAACCTTAAAGATTGATTTTTTTTACGGTTTATCAACCATTTGTGGGTTATTTAAAGCCGAAACATATTCTGGATTGTAAGAATCCTATTTTTGTGAGTGAAACGCTTACGGCAATATCACGTTGAAACATCGGTTCTCATACGATCACTGAAGTTAAGCAACGTCAAGCTTGGTCAGTACCTAGATGGGTGAAGTCTTGGAAATACCAGGTGTGATTGGCATCGCTTACGACCACATCACGATGTAACAACGGTTCTCGTACTATCACCAAAATTAAGCAACGTTGTGGCTTGTCAGTCGCTAGATGGGTGGCCGCTTGTAATCTTGAATGTGCTGATGGTGTAATGGATAACGACTCGCAAATGGAAACCGAAAAGCTGGGTTCCATTTCCAATCAGGTTCATTATATTCACTTATGTGCAAAAACCCTTGAGAAACAATTGGCAATTTTATTTTGAGAATAACATAGATTTTTTCAGTTACATGACACACTATTTAACCCACAACGGTGGGGAGATGGATTCATACCTTTACCGCGTAAATGAATATAGCGAACCCGACTGGAATTCGAACAACGGCACTTAATTCTCTCATTTCGAATCATTATCCATTGCATCACCCGCACATCCCCAAAAGCAGAAACGTACAAAGGGCCGAAATGTTTTGACTATAACAACCAAGATGAAGACAACAGTTTGAATAAATCAGCGAGTGATAATGATATCTATGACCTATTTAATTTTATATATAAAATTATGTTTTATATATAAAATTCAATTTTATATTTATGTTCTTAATTAATTGTTTTCTTTGTCTTCGGTTGCTTCTGAAGAGCGAGGATTGAAAACCAGTTCACCCCTTTTTTGTTATTTTCTCGTTTATTGTTGTTATTGTTTTGATTCACCTTTCTACGGAGAATTATTTTATTAACCTTGCTCTTCTCTCCGTGTTTTTTTTTTCTTCTTCATATTTTTGCTGTATGTAGATATATACAGGCTGCGATGGATAAATTGTCGCCTAAATCACGCAAAAGTGAAAATAACACTGACATTTGATTTTAACAGATATATTTACTAGAATTACAGAAAAAATATCAAATTTGTTCAATAAAATCGCCATTAGCTTCCACCACGGCTTCCAGACGACTTCGGAATCTCCTGCAACTCTTCTGGATGGTCTCCTCTTTTAAGTTGGTGAATACTGCCATAATACTTGCCTTGAGTTCATTTTTGATTTTGAAAGGAGTTTCGTTGCGCCCCACACGTAATAATCAAAGGTGTTGCAGTTTGGGGAGTTAGATGGGCAGATGTAAGGGGTGATGTGGTCGCAGTAATTGTCTGACAGCCATGATTGGGTTATCCTGCTTGTATGGAATGGTGCAGAGTCCTGTTGTCAGACATAGGGTCTTCCAGCCGGCGTCCTCTTGAGCCAAGGCAGCACTAACTCCTTGATGTAGGCCTCCGTGTTGAGTCTGAGGCTCTGTGGAAAGATGAATATAACGTCGCCAACACTAGTGATCACTCCAAACAGCTTCGTAATCATAATTAGAGTTATCCAACTCTTTCTGAATCTCCTACATTGTCCTCAGATAAGACACCCAAACAATCTGAAATGTTCGTATTGGAAGTTCCGGCGCGAATGCCAAGCAGTACAGAATGCCGTTTCCAAATTTCTAGCGGAGTGAATTACGTCACGGTGCGTTTTTTCTCACAGATGGTGCCCAACTGACCCTACTATACTGTGCAGACGACAATATCAAAAGCAAACGACGCTCATGCGCGAAAGTAAAAATATAAAATGGCGACATTACCATTGTATAACTTTAATGTGTCCGTTCTTATGGCAGAAATACTTTTGCATTCCCATACACTGGTTATATATATATATATATATATATATATATATATATATATATATGTCAGAGAGAGAGAGAGAGAGAGAGAGAGAGAGAGAGAGAGAGAGAGAGAGAATTTCTTTCTCCATAATCTATCTTACGTAAATATAAGTTTACCTTTCTTCCATGCTTAGAATATATGCGTCACATATGGTCCGGTGCTCCTGCAATATAGCTAGAGATCCTTGATAAAATCTATAGAAGAATCAGCAATATTATTGGTCCTGATCTGGCGTCCTTGTTTCAATCTCTTTCTCATCGCCATAATGTTGCCTTCCTGTACCTTTTCTATAAATAATTTCTTGACAATTGTTCGCTATGGTACGTAGACGTTATGAATTTAAGCGCAGTGCTAAACTGGCGACAAAGTCTCATCAATTTACAGTTGAGTTGTCACCGGAAGTTCTATGCTAACAGTTTTTTTTCCCTCGAACTTCTCGCTTGTGGAACTCACTTCCGGCTCCATGCTGTCCAGTCAACTTTAATCTTCAAAAATTTAAATGAAATATCAATCGCTATCTACTGTCCTGATTAATCTTCTTTTGTTCTCTCACTTTAGTAACGTTTCTGTTTTCTAATACTTCTATACTCAGTATCCGCTTGTAACCGTTTGTGTGTTAGTGGCTTTACTGTTTTGCTTGGGAGTGAACGCAATCTATCTATCTATCTATCTAAAAGTGGACACTGAAGTCAACACTCAGAGGCGACAATCTGTTTCATGCTAAACGCAATCGTCAGGCGTTGAGTATTTCTCGACTATTTATATATGCGGGTCACCGATGCATTGTGGGTAGTCTATTCTAACGGTCATTTTGGCGGGAGTGGTTTGTTAATTTGTTTACTATTTACTTTATTTATTTAGATTAATTTATTTCACTTGTTTTTGTTTATTTTTATTTAATTTATTCTTTTCAGTTTTCGATTTTTAAGTAACGTAGTAAAAATTTGTCTTCGTGTCTGCATTTTGAGATGAGTTCTGATCGTTTATTTAGTAGTTTGTTTTGGTCTGGGATGGTAATTATAGCTAAGAAACACAACGCATGTGACCTGACGATTGTGTTTAACATGAAACAGTCTGTCTCCACCGAGTGTTGATTTCAATGTCCACTTTTATATTTACATACGCTCTATCTCTGTTATTGAGCACTTTATCCCATAAACATAGCAAACCATAAGCTATATTTCTTTTTATATATATATATATATATATATATATATATATATATATATATATATATTTTAAACTCAAATTTAAACATGGCTCAACATGTACACTAAGAAAAACACAAAATCTTAAAAAAATTATCTTGTTACATATCCTTCTTTATTGAGCCGACTCATTGTTCATATACCACAGCTGTCTATGCCCCTTAGAACGTTTCCGTCAGTGTCACCGCCTCATCATTCTCAATGTGCGATAAGGTCGTGTGGTATGGATGGATGGCTCTCACATTTCGATAACCCTCCAGTTTAAGCAGTAGGAGAAATGACTTCTTAAAGAAGGCCTTCATCTATTTGTGGCACCATGCATCCAGGCAGAGAAAGAAAGGCAGAAAGGGAAAAGAAAGAAAAGAAGAAAGGAAGGGAAAAGTGAGGCGAGATCCGAATCATAGGTGATAAGCGAACATACACACACGGCTAAGAGGCAATAAAAAAAGGGGTTATTTTGATAAGTGGCAAATGGAGAAAGAGTGTCATTACAATGACAATGAGATTTGAGTGGGTAGGGAAGTGTTATCTAAGGATATGAAAACAAACTATTGGTACGGGGAAGGCATCGGCCAAGGGAAAATTCAAGTGAAAATGTTATTTCGATAAGTGACGAAAAGAAACAGGCGACTAAAAAGACTTTGGACAGATATGAAAATTAAAGGCCACCTACGAGTAATCGTTGACCGATTTTCCTACTTGGCCTGCAAAAGGAATGGAATTGTGTTATCAAGAAATGTTCGCCAAAGAAAGTCCACTTGAAAACGTTAATTTTGATAATTGACAAAACACAGGTGTAGCTACAGAGCCTTAGTTAGATATGGAAAATTAAAATCCCACACAAGCAGTCTCGCTAACTAAATTTTTTTCGACAAAACAACTTTTGCCTGCGATAATAAATTTATGTTATCAGGAATATGTGCCGAAGGAAAATGGGTGGGGACCCAGGGTGTTTTTTTTTTTCTTCCTTGGAGACGTCAGACTGACTGAAAACTTGGGGATGAGATTTTTTTGAGGCCATGTAAAGAATACCAACCATCTTGATAAATTAGCGATAAAATACCTGACGTAAGCCACGTGTAGAACAAGAATTATGACCCCATTGTTCATATTTTCCCGTTGGTGGCCAGAGAAATGATACGGCGATTAAGGAAGAAAAGGAAAAGCAAAAGATATTTTTTTTTTAGTTAAGCAAGATATTTTTTTCCGAAACAAAGCCGCGGATTGTTCACGCCCGACTAAGACATCATTGGTCAACTGGTGATCACGTGACGCACGAGGGAGGAGGAAAGATACCCGACCAAGACCTCATTGGCTGAGAGTGATCACGTGACGCACAAAGAAGGCTGTCGACGCCCCCATCCAGAGTGTAAGTATGAGAAGCTGCTACGAAGAAGTGGGGGAGGGCAGTTCACGCCCTCAGAAGTATGGTGAGAAAGTGGGAGTGAAAAAAAGTTACCAAAAAATGGAAAAGAGTGGAAAATCCTAACCAGAAATAAAAGAGGTGGATATGTATTTAGAATTACTGAGGAACCCCCTGACGCCAACAGACCCACCCCGGTTTTGGTCGGCGTCAATAAAACGAAGCCCCGACAGGCAGAAATCAGTTCGAGCTCCAGTTTCCAGAGTTGAAGTCACCTCGAGATAGCTGACCAAGATTCAAGAAAAATTCCGGACTCCTCTTCAACCAAGAACAATTATTTTGAAGAGCGACTTAGGACCAGAGCACCGAAATAAGTTTTTTTCGACTTTCGTCCAAAGACACACCGAAACACAAATTTCTTAGAGAGCAAACAACTTGAAGCGTTAAAACTTGCCTAGCGAAAACGACGTGTCACAATCCACAGAACGGGTCGGGAGATAGATGCAGTCTTATGTATCGAACAACTAGACATAAAGTTTGTTACCTTTTTTCTTTGATACTTTGAATTTTTTGAGTTTTCATTTTATTTTCTTTTATGCATATTTGTGCGTTATCACCCCTGTTGAACTCAATTTGCATTACGGCCCCAACTACTGTTTGATCTCGTCTGTCTAAGATCAATTCACAACGTGGGTAGGCAGACTGGAGATCAATGCAGTTACCTTGGTAACCAGGCGTTGGAAGCGA